AACATGGCTTTAACTAAGAACAGGACACAAAAGGAAGACGGGTAGATGAGAAAAACGTAATTCAATTCCCCCAGAAATCTTTGAAGCTTGAAAGCGAGCGATAGCCACATACAGTATCTTTTTAATATTCTTGCGTTAGCATGTATAATATAACATGGACTTTYGATGTCGCCCCAACATTTTGCAATATTTTGATCATCTTCCTCGCCGCCAGATTCACCGTGAAAAGCAACATACATCATTTGTTCACCAACATGACCGTTTCAGACATTCTCCTTGCTGTTGGTTGTTCGTATCACTCATCATTCGTTYTCTACTTGGTCTTCCACATCTCTGGGAATTTTGGGATAATGTCGTTAAAAAATTAATTTTGTTCCAAGCTTTAGGGTCTCTGACACATCATCAGGGAAAGCCATAAAAAATATAAATTGATTTCCCAAAACTATTTGAAAAAAGGGYCATTMATTTTATTATTAACCACATATATTTACTGTATTAATACACTGTCACAAAAGCCGAGCTTGGGCTCCCTGTGATTATACGTCTCCACAATAGATGATACATTCAGATTACTTTTTTATGTAATTGCTTAGTATGTTTTCCCCTTCGTTTGGTAAGATATCAGACCTCCTACCCAACCACTTGTAATATCTAGGACAGATTTGTTATGAAAATATCTTAATATCCTTGTGTTAGCTAATATAGAGTTTAGATGTCGCGGCACATTTTTAGAAGGCAGACTACTTTAGCAAAGAGTAATTAGAAAACCTTCTAAAAATGTTCATTTTAAAGAAGAATTTTCGTGAATAAAACAAAATTTAGCATTTTTTTCGCTTGATGAAAAGAAAATCGTTCTCAAATGATAACAAACAAAAACACAAGCCTTTTTCCGAAGGTAAATTGAAAATAATTTTTTCAAATTTTGACAAACAAAAGATTGCTTTATACCTTGTTGTTTTGGAGAACCAAAAGAAAGATATAGAGTATCCTGCACATTTTTAGGACTTCACCCTGTTGAAGTTTCAAACGTGACGGTTACTTAAAGAAGTTCTACTGTTTTTCAGCGATTTTGAATTTGAAACGTTTCACGTTCAGCCATTTTAAATCGTAATTAAAGTTTCTTCAAAAAAGCAGGCCGTTCGATTGTATTGCTTTCGATTAAAGAGAACTTTCTTTAGTAGTTTAGCTTAGTTTAGTTTAGTTTATTTGTCATAATATAAACAAATACATTTTATAAAACTTGAGAAATACAAATTTTGTGACTGGCGAAGAAGACAGAACTTTCGTCCCATTTGATATTCCTTCTCCATACAATTTACATACAACACAAACATGATTAACATCAAAATTGACGAGGAAAAACAATAATTAAAAGAAAAACACGTCAAAATATATCAAAATTCAAGTTCAAAAGATTTTAAGGTGGTAAGTAGTGTTCCATCTTGGAAGCAAAATGGGTGGTCACAAGTTCCTTAAATTTGGAAAGGCTTACATCATTCATTTTAAAGTGTATTGGTATATATCGAATTCCATACTTTGATAGATCTAGGTAGAAATGAGTTAAGGTAATAGTCCTGTTTGAAGAGATTAAGTTCTTGGAAATTGTTTTGGTAGTAGTTTCTTGAGACAAAATTAGGCTTAGGTACAGGCTGTAGATATTGCTTAAGACTGGAGTTTATTTTATTGTGTTTTAGTTTATGCAGAAGAATAAGGTCAGTTTTCGGTCGTATATTCATGGTTTTCAACCATTCCCAAGAGAATTAAATAACCAAAAGACACGGCGGCAATTTTGGAGGATATAACAAAAGAATTCAATGACAATCCTTTTGTTAAGTTCCTCCAATATGGCCGCCGTGAAAATCATCAATATTCAAGAGGAAGGATGTCCAGTATAAATAATCTGTCAGTATAAGTCATATCGTCCGGATAGTTCAAGATAAACTTTGTAGCCCTTCACTGTACATTTTCAATTTTCAACGTTGGAGTTTTTTAGTATACGGTGACCAAAGACTTGAAGCATAYTCGAGCTGATGTCTCGCAATAGCTAAATAAAGATGTTTACGAGTYCTTGCATCCGTAATTTCTCTAYCACACACACGCTTTATCAAACCAAGACACTTGTTTGCTTTGGAACACATTTCCTCAACATGCTTAATTTTGCCCAGGTGAGGTCCGATGATATAAGGCTGCGTTCATAATGTATGGCAGGGGGGGGCAGGTGAAATTTTTAAATCCCCCCCCCCCCTTGAAGTCCCCCAAAAAATAACTATGCCCCTGGGCATAGCCTCCGTTGCAGACGTCCTGCGGGGTTCGGTTCGGATCCCTCCGAACCGAACCCCGCAGGACGTCTGCAAAGTAGGCTACCCTGGGCAATCTCTCGTAGCTTCTAAATATTTGCATCTCCCCCAATTCTCTTTACAAAAATGTTCAACCCCCCTCCCCCCCTGCCATACATCATGAACGCAGCCTAATAACTCCAAGGTCTTTTGCATAGKGCGCGTGCGTTAGGTAGATCTTCATCGCAGATTTTGTATTGATTTACAGCCTTAATTCCTTTGTCAACATTGAATTTCATTTTAGAATAGCGACTTTCCAGCCATAAACACGCTGGTCAATATCCCTTTGCAAATCGTTGTGATCTGAATCYGATTTGATGACTTTGTATAGTTTTGTATCATCAGCAAATAAGGCAAGTTTAGAATCACCTAGAATATAATTAGGCATATCATTAACATACACAAGAAAATGAAGAGGTCCAAGTATGGATCCTTGAGGAACCCCAGATGATACAGGTAACCATTGGGAGTAAGAACCATCAATAACAACACGCTGCTGTCTATCGCTTAGATAATCAAGAAACCAGTCGAGAAGTCCTCCAGTGATAACGTATTTCTTTAGCTTAGAAAGAAGAATATGATGCGTTGTTTAATTATCAAATGTTTTAGACAAATCCATGTGTAAAGCGTCAACTTCAGTGCCATTGGCAAGATTTTCTAAGATATCATGATAAATCTCAAGAATCTGTGTTGACTTTCCTTTGATAAATCCATGTTGCAGAGGATAAAGTAGAGGTATTATGTGAGAACAACAGTATAGTTAAACACACAGCGTTCCACAATCTTTGATAAGATACATGATAGAGATATCGGTCGGTAGTTAGAAGCAAGTAATGGATCTTCTTTTTTAAAGACTGGAGTGATATTTGCACGGCTTCCATAATGTTGGTATCTTTTCTAACGACAGTGATAGGTTGAAAAAAACGACTTAGTGATGGAGCTATAACATCAGCAGTGTTCATCAGAATTTTACCAGGGATATTATCAGGACCACATGCATGCTTTCTTAAGGTCAATCACCTGAAATGCTTTACAAACRTCATATATAGTAAGTTCAATGATAGCTAAGTATGGAATATTGCTGGTAGAATCATCAACATTGTCAATCATATTAGAATTGCTGGTTGTAAATACAGAGTGAAAGTAGGTGTTGAGGAGGTTTGCTCTCTCAGTACTGTCCGTTATAAAGGACTGACCATCACGAAGAAAGTTAGGACCAGAACGYTGTAATGTATACGACTTGACTAGAGACAAGAAGTGTTTAGGGCTCTCTAGAAGTGAGTCTTTTATGTTGTCAGCATGATGTTTCTTTTTGTTTCTAATCATTTGGTTTGTGTTCCTTCTAATATCTTGATATTTCGACCAGTCATCTGGATCACCAGTTCTGCGTGCTCTTAATCTTTGCTTGTTTTTCTTCTTGATTAGTGATAGCAATTCTTTGTCTATCCAAGGATGACTATGTRAACTTCGAAGCTTTATTCTGGGTATGTTCTCTTCAACAGCTGACAGAAAGAGATCACTCCAATGTGATAGTATAGTGAGGCATTGATGTCATCTTGTATAGAACGGTCTGAACCCAGGTGAATGAATGTTAATCGAAGTATTATGATCATCCGGGTGGATGTAGTCCTGAGAAGGACTGTTTGATGTGACTGTCGTTTCGACAACCTGAGCGGAAGTCATCTTCAGAGTCAAGTGAAGAACAAAGTTGATAATAATTGATGTCATCATTAACAAGTGCCATGTCCCATGGAATGCGTGTCAGTACATCGTTCAGATTCTTCCAGTCAGCTTTTTTGAAGTTGTATACGACCCGACTGTACACAGGTTTCAGTAAAAGCGATTAGCTTGTGATCTATACGAAGAATGCCGTCAAAGCCGTGGACATTGGTAATTTTTACAGGAATGTTAGTAAGGATCAAGTCCAATATTTTATCATCTCTGGTCGGGAATTCGACTGCTTGATGGAAAAAGTAATCTTTCACTTTTGCAAAGAAATTATGAGATGGATCTGAAGATGTTACAGCTCCAGTGCTCCAATCGATGTTTGGTAGATGAATTTCTCCACATGGAGCGCATGCTTTATGAGAGCACACAGCACGCGCGCGTACTTTCAGTTGCTTATTCCTATCCAAAAAAACGGTTATTCAAATTTGTATTCTATAAAAGAAAKAAATAAACTAGCTTGCCGTTCTTTGTGGAATTATAAAACTCTTAGGGATTGGTAGAATACTCGACACCTAACACTTCTCTCGTGTTCTGCCAACCCCGCGTGCTTTATGACCGCACACAGCACGCGCGCGCGTTTTCTATTTCTTCAGTACAGTCGGAAATTCGAAATTCGAGAACAATATCCGAACTTCTTGGTAACACAATGCAACATCATTTATACCACGTGATGGCTAGCGATTTACCGGCAATAAAATTGAAAATAATCAATTCCTATATTTGTTATTTTGTTAATTTTTATTTCCATATGACAACGTTCATGCAAGGAGGTGTATAATCTTCGAAATATTTCAATATTTAAAATATCACAATATTTCGCAGTTTGCAGTTTTGTTCAGTCTAAACGAGTTGTTGCAAAAACCTCTACGGCATATGAGTGTCAATGTTAAACATATCCAGAAAGAACGAATCAAACACGGCGGTTAAGTGAAATTGTTTTCATTCTTCCTTTCCATATTTTTGCTTCTTGTAGGCACGTAATATATTTCAGTTAACAGAATACCGAAAAATACGCAAAAGTTGGGTCTTAGTAGCCTGGGACGGMAGCAAAACAGCTAAACTCGCTGTGATTGGCTGAAACAAAATTCACCGCTCAGCTGGATCTATCCTTTAAAAAAACTGTGTAAAGACAGAGCATAAATTCAATGTCCGAAAATATCCTACAAAAAAATTTGTATGATTACTTTAATTTTATTTAAATTTTGCTAAAATGTATTAAATCTTGCATGTCTTGTGTGCACTGAATTGTGTATAATATTATTCATGGTTAATTTAACATTTTATTCGTGGAAGTAATTACAAGTGAACTTCCTTAATCAGTGGCTTGTCTGAAGCGACCATTCCATCGAACCACGGAACAATTTTTTTTTCAAAATAACAAAGTTTTCTTACTAAAATTCGATTCTTGGTACCGTCATCCCCAGCACGTCTTCTGTGGAATGAGTTAGACATGGAGTAAACACCGATACGTGGTCTAAGGCAGAGCTTCCAGGGCTTTGATCTCAACAAGCTGTAGCAGGTACGTACGACCGAGTCAAAATATAGTGATTGACTTCTTGAATTCGTTTGGATAATGAGAAACTCTATACAATTTCTTTCTCTTTGTACTTAAGAATTTTGTGCTACCTCGTATGCCTTTTCTTCCGTGTTTTAAATGAATTTATTCTTGTACTGAAAAAAGTTTTCTGAGACAACACAAATTCCTTATCATGYAACGAGCTTGAACTTATTTTCCCTGCGTTTTCAAGACAATTAATTGTATAAGTTTAAAAACCTCTAGTTTTTATAAATCTCTAATAAATAAAATGTCCTTGTCCGCTTTCCTGCATAAAAATGATTTAAAACAAGAAGCGGAATTTAGTATTTTACCTTGCATTTTATTCAAGACTAAAAGTTTGTTTAGATGCAACAGGAAGCCAGTTGTATCTCAACCCGCCTCAACAGGTTCTAAATTCGCTGAGCTCGACATAGTCCGTCAAATGAAGCWCTCGGGGAAAATGGTGTTTAAATTAGGGCTTATTTAAAAAGAATATAGATAAATTAAGCTCAGTAATAATAAAGCATTTGTGCCCGAAAAGGTTAGCGGATATAAATCGTTGAATGAAGTTTTCAGTTGAATAATAGATATCAAATCAATGCATGATCAGTCAAGTAGTGAAGTTTTTATAATAACGTGCATACCAAAGCGTTTCATTTTTTGTATTTTGACCTTTTATGTTTGAATAAATGAATAATGAGCCGATGTCATACAGAAAAACGTGAAGGCATGAAATTTGCGGTCGTCAGTGTTAATGTATTCAACCCCCTTGAATGCCATCYCTCCGAAAATGAAACTTCAACTTTTTAAAGTAATTCCCTTCTTATGCTTCGCTCAAAGAACAAAGCATCCCTCTCCGGGCAACCTTTTATTAACCACTGCGAGCTTGAAGAAAAAAACTGGGTTGAGTTGACATTACAGTGCATTGTGGGACTGTAAAGTTATGGAGACATATTTTCAAGATGGCGCCCATATTTCGTCTCCTTAAACAGCCCCATGATGCACTGCTATGCCAACTCGACCCAGTTATTTCCTTAAACTCGGAAAATTAAAGTTAGTCTTACCTGAAAATATACTCCCCTCTGACATCCTAGGATCGAGGCAATCAGCCTTTTTTCGTGGAATTTTAAGGTATTGGGTTTATAACCTCTTTACACATTTTTTATTCAATTGTAAAGGCCTACGGTTTCATGCATCAGTATGTTAGCAGATGGTTAAAGCCATGAATGGCCATGGAAGAAGAAGAGAGGTCAGTAACTTGATTCAGTTAATTAACGATTGATTTGCCGAAGGCGAAGTGATTATTGGTGAATATTAACCAAGCGGCGAGTCTTTTTCAGCATAATTTTTAGACTTGAATATCAGCAAAGACTAAATTCGTGAATAAAAAAAAGACGTTTTACCGTGCGACTACACCAACCAACGCCACCGAGACAAATTTTCATACAAATTAGCCAATCAAGATTAAGTATTTACACAATAGAATCTGTACAAATTTTCAAATTTTCCTCTTTAAAATAAATATTTCACCTTATGCAAGTGTGTGTATGATCAGGAGTGAACAAGAAACAATTCAAAATCCAGAAATCACTAATYCATCTGCTATCGGCGTTAAAAATGTAATTTGTGAATTTGATTTAAGATTTGTTTGGGTGGCCTTGGTTGATGTAGTCGCACTGTAATATTACTTCCGCTTTGGCAAACTTTGGGAAACTTCATAATTACCGCTCRGGCAGTGATTAATATCGTCTCATAATAACTGGCCAATCACAGCGCGCTAAAACCAAGTCTAAAACTATACTAATTGCAAAAAACGTTTTCTTCGTGCATTCTCATTTCCCTCTCATTCATTCATTCATTCATTTATCTATTGGTTTATTATTTTATAATTCCAGCCTACTTTCATCTCASTTCATCTCACTTCTTGCTCTTCTCATAAGACACGAGCTTCAGTAACCCATTAAATTTTCAAATCTTTTTTTAACATAATAGAAACTTTTGCGCTTTGGTTCTACTTCTGCTACGAGTTGGAGCTCCCTGCCTACGTGTTTTCTTCAAAACACAATGGGATTCAACAGGACGAAGTGCAAGACCTTGGACCGATACTACTCAAAATGGATCTGACTTACTACGGATATTTAAGCCGCTCCCATACGAGAAAAACAACGTAAAATCAGGTGACAGATCAACATGGGACTTRTCTCTAGTCATAAAKGTTCTCCTCCATTCAAGSCYACCGTTTGTTTYGACACCAGATTTAGTGTTAGCGCTTGAAAAGCTAAGAGAATTAAGAAACAAGCTGTGTCATGCGACTACTCCAAGAATTAAAGGGAGCGATTTTGGAGGATTTTGGACTGACGCGTGTAATGCATTGACTTTATTTGGTGCGAAATCTAAGGACTTCGACAAGGTGAAAAGAGGTAAGGTGTGGCTAGATCTTTACGCTAGAGACTTCTTTGGTATAGAGAGGACTTCTATGAGTCGGAAACGATTTTTGGRATATGAATAATTCGTACGGTAGAGCGTACTATATTTTACTGTAACTGTATAGCTACGCATTGTGATTGGATGAAATACTGGAAGATAATGGGAAGCCATTTCAGTGGTACGATTTGTCGTCCGTACCGTTTGCCTCTTACTTATGTTAAAACCGATCTACGACATGTCGAAGGAAACCCAGAGAACCTGGAGAAAATCCTTCTTACAAAAGTAATTGATTTCTTTTTAGATGTTCAGAGATCTCCGAGATTCTTGCTACCAGAGCTAAAAGGGTGCGCGAATCAAGAGAGGGACATTCTGTCACTAATACAGTCAAGTAAGTGGAGCTTTAACGACTTCCGGTTGCCTTATCCCAAAAAGGTTTTTGCAGGAACAACCCCCCAATACTGCTAACTAACTAAAGTAATAATAACACTAAAAAATAATAGTAATCTGGTAATGATCATCATCATTTTCCTCTTCTTGTTCTTCGTCTTCACCATCATCTCCTTCATCATCAACCTCGGTCTTCTTTATCATTATCATCATCATTTATTCTGTTCTTATCGTTAACATTTAAGTAAACAGCAAGCAGGAAAATCTGCTACAAGGACAACAAAAAATACT